AGTCCTGCAATTGCGAGCTTTCGGTAGACAAGTGACCGGTGGTCATAGTTCCTTTGTTCTGGCTTTTTCTTCTTTCCAGGCTGAATCTGTGGGATCTCTTCTTCTGTTAATAGCTGCCCTCATTGAGAAGCTTAGGGACACTTCTACGACCTTTTAAATGGGTTTCGGTTTCTCCACTTTGCTTGATCAGCTCCCAGGTAAACTACCAGGTGTGACAGTACCATTTACATCGTTCCCTAGTGAGTGGTTTTCCCGATCGAACCAATCCATCTAATTCTTTCGTTTTAGGTGCGACCAGATGAGATTTTTTCCTCGTCGCACCCGCTTTCCATCCCTTTCTTTACTGGTTACCAGTTCTCTCCTATATGGAAATTCTATCCATTATGAAATGCTTTTTGTAAGTGTTGATGTAGTCAGTACCGACTGAGTCCTTGTTCTCCGCCTACTGTTAGTTTTTGATCGCGGACAAAGTGCATGTTTTATTTTCTGGGAGAATGCTAGGTTTTATTAATCTCAACTCGGCAGGGAAGGGTGCGAAATGGGATTGCTGTAGCGAACATAAGGATAAATGTCCTAGGACGAGCTCGCTGGTGGTTGAACTCCCATTTTGCGCATGAAGTCCTTTAAGGCTACAGGGCATCTGTCAGGTGGATGCTTCTTTGCTGGGTATGCCCCTACACATTTTCTCGTGGCATACTCTAGCCGAATAGGAACAGGGAAGAGGGAAGGAAACGAAGGAAAGAGGAATAAAAAATAGAAGGAGGGTCTTCGCAGCCGGTTGATAGATGTCCTGAGACGTTTCTTTGAATGCCCCCCTTCCCTTTAAGTGGTCTGCTTTCCACTATCTGCTGCATGTGTGAGCATACATCTCTGCAATGGTAGAGTGTCAATGGAAAGTTTTTGATTGTTGGCATTTCCAAGACATCGCCATTTCGCGTGACATCCGTTGTTTGTGCAGCTAATTTTGGCAGCTGAATGCAGCATGTTTCTCACCATGATATTTTTGTGGATATTTTAAGTTTTCATGATGACGAGATTTTCTCGGGCTTCAGATATTATCGCGAGCGCAGGCAGTGCTAACAGTAGTCGCGATGTACGTATGTTGTTATTCTGGATAATTATCGAGCGCGGGCTTTGTGTTTTTACAAGCCAGCAGGTCAAGCATGCTAAATTCTTGATAGCCTTGCTATTGCTAGCATTATAGCATGTATAGCCTCGCTATTGCTAGCATTTTAGGATGTTTTCTGATGGAGGCACAACAGGTCAGAATTGATCCATGGTGGACTTTACTGCCGTTAGCTCCAAGTGTTTCGGCCTCGTGTAATGCCACAGAGTTCGCGGTGGTAAATATTTGTCCGAGCTGGCTGGCCAGCAGCCTCAGTGAAAGATATGTGTCGGTGCCCTCTGGACACTATTCGAGTGCTCTCTATTGATCTACAAATTCTCAGGGCAAACCCGATCTTGGGGTGGATCTCGCTCGAAATTATATCAAATAATGCGTCTCCAAACCCAGACAGGCCTGACGGGGGCGGATGATATCGTTGAGGAGGAAGAACTGGAAACAACGAAAAGATCCCGACTTTTCCGTCTCTGGAGAAGGCGAAGAAGAGTAAAATCAGGCCGAATGAAAGTGTAACATTTTTGGAGAAGTCCTATCGAAACTGTTCATGCCATCATGAATCCATCATGATGATGGAGAGAAATGTCCAACTTTGAAGCGAGGACCTATCCTTAGCATAACTCGCGAAGTAAATGGCAGTCAAGTAGCAGTAGCATAAACAGGTTGAAAGGATGGCTGAGTTCCGAATTCTGCAGATTTCTTGCAGGCTGACTCCAGGGTAGTAGTAAACATCAATAGAATAGAGGTTCTCGTTGTTGTCATCATTCTTCAAGGGACATTGATAAGGCGTTCTGCGTTGTTTTGAACTTCCGAAAGCCAGACACCGAAGGATGTGTTCAGACATCTGCCTAATTATAAAGTAGCTGGTTATAGCACGGGTAAAGATACTAGAAAGAATGGATGAGGGAGCGGATTTTGAAGCTATCACTATGAATAGAGCTAGTATGCTGCTTTCTTCTTGTTTTGATAACACCAAACATCGAGCAAGCGGAACGAATGCTGGCTGAATTCGACTGCGCGTGTGGAAAAATCGGTCTACGGCTGAATCTAACGAAGACGATGTTCATGAGAAACGGATTGGTTTCTGATGCCCCATTCACGCTCAACGGAACGACCATCTCTGAATGCTCTAGCTGTGCTCATACTTCAGGGGAATTGGTGCCGATGTTTCGGATAATTCGCGTCAAATGAATGAATGGGTCGCTGGGCGTCGCTCGCTAGCGTTCTGTGAATATAAAAATGGAGCAATTTAAAACGTCGAGTCGCTAGCAACTGGCGCTGATCGATACACATCAAATCTCTTAACATTCTCCCAGAGGTTCGATTCCCTCTGTTTTCCGCGTCACCGCAAAGTATGAACGCAACGCAGTGGTACAGTGAGGGTGGATGATCAGGCTATGTACAATGAGGGTGGATGATCAGGCTATTTGTGATGTACTACTGCTACTACTGCTTGGTTTGAGGGTCAGGCATGAGTCTCGGTCGCGCGTTCGACGCGATCAATGCAGTCGAAAGCATGCGCATCGATCGCGTCGAACGCGCAACCGAAGCGCTGCCGTCGCGAAGTCTGAACGCTGCCTAACAGAGCTACGAACAATGTCCCACGCGACATCTCACAAAGAAGTAATATTCTGAAAATCTGAGATTGCGTCCAAACACTGAGTCAAGGTTTTGAGTGTATGGCAGAGCAGCGTTTTGAGCGTTTTCAACGTACGGCAGCGTTTTGAACGACTAGGAAAGTATAGCTACCGATCTAGCGTTTTGGGCGTTCCGCGTGTAGTTTCAGACCTGACGCAGGCAATGGTTGAAAACGGTGGTATGCGCTCAAGACGGTCGATCGATATCTATACTTTCCTAGTCGCTCGAAACACTGACGCAAATTATAGACGCATTCTTGCGGTTTTTTTTTTCTCAGAAGCTCTTTGTAGAACAGGGACTGTTTGCTGGTCCCTACGTATTTTATGTTAAACATACCCATATAGTGCTGTTCAACTCTTCTAAATAACTTAATGCTAAGTTTGAGTTTGGTGAAATCGACTATGTAGTTATGGTCCAACGCTATAATCAACCCTAAATTGGACTTGCACTTTATGGGCGGTCTCAGTAAAATGGCGATTCCTCAACTATAGCTACTTGGTTTCCTACGCTAGTTTGTTTGCTAAGTCGTATCTATTTCGTATTTTTTTGCCGGTGTAGTTCATTGACCATTGGTTTCTTGCAGAAAATGGTCGACCGCAAGGCTGTGATTAAGAATGCCGATATGTCTGAGGACATGCAACAAGATGCCATCGACTGTGCAACGCAAGCGCTTGAAAAGTGGGTATTCCCAGTTTTACTTTTGAATTTTGCTGACCTATAGAAAGAATCGGGCAGTGATGCTGCAATAGAGACAGTAGGCAGCATAAGGTGTCCAGAAGGATGCTGGCACCCCACTGGCTGCGCAGCCATTAAGTGCGTGTTTTCACCAAACCGGAGTGTTGGGTTCAAAAGCACACGACCATGGCGTCTTCTTATCCCATGATTCCTTCGGCGTAACGCCGTTTGAATTTCAATGAAAATCGCGTGCGAGTTGAAGTGAGGCTGTTCTGGGTGTTGTCTGCAGAGGTGAGAAATTGTTCACATCTGAAAATCGTTGAGTAGCGAATACAGGGTGAAGAAAATTCACATGCAGGCAAGTGGTCCCTTTGATTCTTTCTAAACATTGCAATAAGGCATTTTAATGCAATACCTGCTCAATACAAAATGTCTCTGCACAATTGCTCTTGCAATACTATCTATTTCAGACAAGTATTAGCCCATTTTGCCCACTTAGAATGTGTTCATTCTTTGCGTACGTGTTTTGAGCGTATGGTAGCGTTTTTTAGCGACTTTTAAAGTATAGAAGTATCGATCTGGTGTTTTCAACATTTCGCGGGCAGTTTTGAGCTTTTCGTGGGCAGTCGCTGAAAACGCACGCAAAGTATGACGAACTTCACAGTATGTATTGATCCGTAGGATCAAAATATTCCCTTTCCTCTAGACCAAAGATCGGTTCCAATATGACCAAACAGTCAGGGTAATCTCTCAGAGTCGCATGTCTAGGGAGTGATGAAGCAGCAACTAAGGAGCCAGACATCGAGTTTTTGATGACTTTTTTCAAACAAACAAGGTTCATAATGGATGACCTTAGATGCTGCCTACCACCACCGTGCTACTGACTACATGTAGGAACGAATTGGAGCCTGAAAATGAATGACAATAAGCTCAAAATTCTCTGAAGTTGCGAAATGCCCCGATTCAAACTATCATGAAAAATATTTTTTTCAGAAGCGCATTAGCAAACTAAGCGGTAGCGTTTTTTAATGAGCGCCGAGTGGCTATTGTGAAGCGGGTTTTTCTTGAATTTAAACAAAACTGAGTTTTTGAGTTTTGTCTGTGGACTTTTATTTTGTCCGAACGTGGTGCGTTTTGAGTTTTTTGTCGAAAAACTGAGCGTATCGAAAGATCAAGAACAAGGGCGAAACGGCCCGTAGACGAGCGAGGCATCTGTTCTCTGTGCTTGGCGTTAGCAGTGGGCGTGTTTCGTCCTGAAGAGACTGGTACTGTCTCCCTCACTAGCCGTCGGCGTCTTTGCCGCAGCCTGTCAAGTGTGAAAGAGGCAAAAACCCGACTTTGTACATTTTTCACCTCATTCACGGTAGTGTTGGACCCCTCAGTTTGTCATTAGTAATCGACTGCGCCTCGCAACAAGACGTTGTATGTTGACTGGTTGCTCTCACTGTTTTGGGACTGCGCACCTTTCAGAACTGATAGTCGACATATCGTGTTTCCTAGATTGTCAAGTTCTATTGTTTTAGAAAAAGTCGCTTTCTAAAAGGTAGATGTTCCGACCTTCATAAGATACCACTGTGTCATAACTGGCAAGTGCTGCCGTCCATCGGGTGTCATCACACATCGCGTACGTTGTAATGAAGTGGACAGCGTTTCACCTCTAGCGTTCAATGAGCAGTTTTACGCTGGTCGAGATCTATCGAATTAATATTACGGCGAACGAGGACAGCAATGTGCACATCATGGTGGTGGTGTTCGCGCTTGGCGATCCACCATAAAAGGGTGATGTCATCAGTGAAGGGGACAGAGGCAACCTTTCTTTCCTTTTGCGAATAACGCTCCAGCTTCCAAAAGAAACTCGTCAGTGGTTGGGGTGGTCCCAGGAACATTCATTTGTTTCACGCACGCCGATATTAACACTGCGCATTTCATAAAGAGCATCCTTAGAGTGTTTGAGCGATGTCGTCACAGTTTGGCGTGAGTGCTAAAGTGCGCAACGATCCACAAAGGCCATCATTTTTCTCGCTCTCTGGAAAGATTAAACGTTTGAAGTGGAACGACCTGTAAATAAGTGCGATTTTATCTCGGATCGTTTCTGAACCTACAACTGCTATTAGCCAAACGTTTCGCCTGTGACACTTTACATGAGATGATCCTGCATATTTTCGTGCTGTTGATGAAAGGAATTTTGGCATATTTTTGAGATTGTTGGAAGTTTTGTCCAAGATGATTGTCAAGTTAATGTTACAGGGCGAATGTCGGCGATAATGAATTGCCGAGCCCGATTTAGCCAACATAGCAGTCGTGGCGGCGCTAATTTTTGTTACAGCAAGTGGCAGACGGCTACGGGAGAAGGGCAAGATAATCGTGATTTGTCGCGTCGTCGCGCGCGGGGTATTGTGCGGCGGTGTGCGACAAATCCTCAATGTGCTTCAGTACGTCGATTGGAACGGCAAAAATCTCATGAGTTTAAGCGAAGACAAGACTATGATGGGTGATATCGAACTTCATCATCCCTTTGCGACGCGCATGCAAAGAGAGCAAACAACCGCCTTGTTCGCGGCCTGTCGGCTCGCCACGCCCACAAGGGGGGGGGGGGCCACAGCGTTAGTGTCACATCCTCACGGCTGTGGCATTGAATTTCTGTGTTATGCTATGGTATGCTTGTAGTGGTCCCTTTGCTAACCTCTTCTACTATATAGTTTTCACGGTTAATCAAAATCTGAGCCCGGTTGCTTTACGTTGAATTTCTTTTTCCGAGTTACCGTCGAAGTCCAAGTGACATTTGAGAACAGGACATGTGGCAGAATATAGCAAGGGACAGACGCGTAAAGAAATGAAAAAGACTGACCCATTTAGCGAATTCCTTTGTCACAGCCAGTGTGGCTGTGTGTGGCAGAGTGTCGTTTGACTAGGGCTGCATTTTCAATAGTTAAAGATTTCTGTGAATAATGTACGCTAACTGGTTCTCAGTGAAGTTGAGGTTAAGATTTTTTATGTAACTGCTCAGTTCCAAACATTTCTGTTGCTATGTGAGTGCCACGTTGGAGGCCATTATTGGGTGATATATTGCCTAAGTACGGCAACAATAGAAGTCGTGGCCAACGTTACCATGGCGCTCATCCTGAGTGACATTTTGACTGGATTTCTCTTTGAGAACGCTGTATGCTTCCGATTATTCAAGGTACAACATCGAAAAGGACATTGCTGCATACATCAAGAAGGAGTTCGATAAGAAATACAACCCTACGTGGCACTGCATTGTGGGCAGGAACTTTGGCTCGTGAG